TTTTTAGTAGAGACGGGGTTTCACCATGTTGGTCAGGCTGGTCTCGAACTCCTGACCTCGTGATCCACCTGCCTTGGCCTCCCAAAGTGCTGGGATTACAGGCGTGGGCCACCACACCCGGCTCAACCATCTGTTTGTAACCAATCTCCCATCTCCACCAGCACTTCCTTGACTGTGAGATGTCTTCCTTACCCCACTTGGGCTCTGACATCTTATGCCAAGCTGTCCCCTCCTGCCCAGGGATGACTTCTTCTCTGGGCTAGGCCTCTGTCACCCCATGCCAGGCTGCTGCTCTATGGATGGCCTCTTCACTCTGCAGGGGCTCTGACACCTGCTCTGGCCACCGACGCTCCCTCCGCTTCCGGCACAGACAAGCTCTACACTAATAATTTTAGGAATGAAAATTTCAGAAAGCAAAGGGAAGAGAAAGAGGTAGAGCTGCTAATGATTTTTTTTTTTTTTGAGACAGAGCCTTGCTCTATTGCCCAGGTTGGAGTGCAGTGGCACAATCTCGGCTCACTGCAACCTCCTCCGCCTCCTGGGTTCAAGCGATTCTCCTGCCTTAGCCTCTTGAGTAACTGGGATTACAGGTGCCCTCTATCATGCCTGGCTAATTTTTGTATTTTCAGTAGAGATGAGGTTTCCCTATGTTGGTCAGACTGGTCTCAAACTTCTGACCTCAAGTGATCTGCCTGCCTCAGTCTCCCAAAGTGCCAGGATTACAAACATGAGCCACCACACCTGGCTTAATTTTTATTATTTTTTTTATTTTTAGACAGAATCTCACTTTGTTGCCCAGGCTGGAATGCAATGGTGCAAACTCCGCTTACTGCAACCTCTGCCTCTGGAGTTCAAGCGATTCTCCTGCCTCAGTCTCTTGAGTAGCTGGCATTACAGGTGTGTGCCACCACACCCAATTAATTTTTGTATTTTTTTTTTTTTTGAGACGGAGTTTCACTCATGTTACCCAGGCTGGAGTGCAATGGCGAGATCTCGGCTCACCGCAAGCTCCGCCTCCTGGGTTCAGGCAATTCTCCTGCCTCAGCCTCCTGAGTAGCTGGGATTACAGGCACGCGCCACCATGCCCAGCTAATTTTTTGTATTTTTAGTAGAGACGGGGTTTCACCATGTTGACCAGGATGGTCTCGATCTCTTGACCTTGTGATCCACCCGCCTCGGCCTCCCAAAGTGCTGGGATTACAGGCTTGAGCCACCGTGCCCGGCCTAATTTTTGTATTTTTAGTAGAGATGGGGTTTCACCATGTTGGCCAGGCTGGTCTGGAACTCCTGCCTCAAGTGATCCACCCACCTTGGCCTCCCAAAGTGCTGGGATTACAGGCATGAGCCACTGAGCCCGGCTTAATTGTTTAAAATAAATTTCTACAGTGGGAAGAGACAGATGATTCTCTTTCCTCTTGCATAATTGATTAAAAGTTTTTTTTATTCTTCATAGTCAGATACATAAAACATACCATTTCACATACAGATGTAGTCACTACCTTGGTACTGCTTTTAGGTTTTTTATTTGTCCATTTTCACACTGTTATAAAAAACTACCTGGGACTGGGTAATTTATGAAGAGGTTTCATTGACTCACAGTTCCACAGATTTAACAGGAAGAATGACTGGGAGGCCTCAGAAAACTTACCATCATGGCAAAAGGCAAAGAGAAGCAAGGCAAAAAGAAGCAGGCATGTCTTACCATGGCAGAGCAGGATAATGAGAAAGAAAGCGAGAGAGCAGAGAGAAGTGTCACACACTTTTTTTTTTTTTTTTTTTGAGACAGTCTTGTTCTTGTCACCCAGACTGGAGTGCAATGGCATGATCTCTGCTCATTGCAACCTCTGCCTCCCAGGTTCAAGCAATTCTGCCTCAGCCTCCCAAGTAGTTGGGATCACAGGTGCCCACCACCACACCTGGCTCATCTTTTTTTATTTTTAGTAGAGATGGGGTTTCACCATGTTGGCTAGGCTGGTCTCAAACTTCTGACTTCTGGTTATCCACCCGCCTTGGCCTCCCAAAGTACTGGGATTACAGGCATGAGCCACTGTGCCCAGCCAAAGTGCCACATACTTTTAAACCATCAGATCTCATGAGAAGTGATTATCATGAGAACATATGAGGGAAATCTGCCCCATCACTCATTCACCTCTCACCAGGTTCCTCCCTCAATATTGGGAATTACAATTCAACATGAGATTTGGGTGGGGACACAGAGCCAAACACTATCAGGTTTGTAGCAGGAATTTAGATAAATTTACTTTGTGTTAATTCCTATCAAAAAAAGAAAAATATGCTGAGAACATCTATAATTATATATGCTCTATATTCTTTATAGGAGATAACTTCCTTTTTGAGTTGGTGTCCATATGAAAAGCAAATCTGTGCAAAATAATTTCATCACAGTTATACATGTGATGACCAACATGGAGAAACCCCGTCTCTACTAAAAATACAAAAATTATCTGGGCATGCTGGCGGGTGCCTGTAATCCTAGCTACTCAGGAGGCTGAGGCAGGAGAATCGCTTGAACCCGGGAGGCAGAGGTTGCAGTGAGCCAAGATGGCGCCACTGCACTCCAGTCTGGGTGACAGAACAAGACTCCATCTAAAAAAAAAAAAAAATTTCTTTTTGCAAGTTAAAAGAAAAAAATACTTATCTGATGCTAAAGACATTGCTGGGGTCACTCCCAGTACCTAGGATGGGCCCATGCAAGTACAAGGCCCTTCCTTAGCTTCACAGAAAATCTGCCTCTGCTAGTGCCCTTCCTAGTTGGTATTTGTGAGGCTCAAATAATGTGTGTATGAGGACACAAAATGCTTGGCACACAGCAAGTGCTCCATACAGCATGGCACTTGCCATTTCGATTGTTGTTGCTATCATCATTTTCTGGAAGAGGAAGTTGAGGAAGAAGAAACGCAGAGAAAAGAGGAGAGCCCTCTGCTGGGCTGGAAGCTAGGTCCCTGGGTTCTTTTTGTTTTCCTATCCCAATAAATCATTCAGGTCCCTGGGTTTTAAGTCTTGAGTTTTTTTGCACTGTGAGAACTGTGGTTTCTGAGCCCTGTGTGTGGCCTGAAGGCCAGGGTGTCAGTTCTGGAGTCCCTGGAGGGTGAGGAAAGGCTTTATCTGGGATGTCTACAGCTCAGAGCCTGAGTGGGACCATTTGCTCAGAGAGGTGGAAAGCCTCTGAGAGGGAGACAGTCCGTCAGCTGCCCTCAGTCGGAAGCGGGAGACACAGCCCTGCCCAAAAGAACCCTCAGTGTGAGGGAGAAGACACAGGTCAACCCCAGGAGTCTCTAAGCTAAAGGGCGAAGTCTCTAGTCTAAACCGGGGAACACACAATTCCAACTATAACAGAAACCTAAAGGAAAAAAGGAAAGAAGGAGTCAGCTGTGTCAAATGCACCTGAGAAGTTGAGTAAGATAATAGTGGTTCATTGGCTTTGGCAATACGTAGCACTGTAACCATAGCAGAGCCTTTAAAGAATAGACTAGAATAGGCTGGGCGCAGTGGCTCACACCTGTAATCCTAGCACTTTGGGAGGCCAAGGCAGGTGGATCACGTGAGGAGTTTGAAACCAGCCTGGCTAACAGGGTAAAGCTTCCTTTACTAAAAATACAAAACATTAGCTGTGGGTGATGGTGGGTGCCTGTAATCCCAGCTACTCAGGAGACTGAGAGTCACTTAAACCCTGGAGGCAGAGGTTGCAGTGAGCCAAGATCGTGCCACTGCAATCTAGCCTGGGCAACAGAGTGAGACTCTGCCTCACCAAAAAAAAAAAAAAAAAAAAAGACTAGAATAAATTGTAGAGAGATGGAAGGTGAGGGAGTAGAGAAACAAGCAAACAAGTTTGTTGTAAATGAGAGCTAAAAATTGGGGAGGTACCAGCAGAAGAAAGTGGGTCATGGAATAATAATTTAAAAATAGGGCTGGGCATGGTGGCTCACACCTGTAATTCCAACAGTTTGAGGGCCTGAGATAGGAGGAGGAGGGCTTGAAAGCAGGAGTTTGAGACTTAGCCTGGGCAACATAGAGTCCATCTCCACCCCAAAAAAAACAAAAGAAAAAACAAAAAAAAAACAAAGGCAGGGCATGGTGGTGTGCAACTGTAGTCCCAGATACTCGGGAGGCTGAAGTGGGGAGGATGGTCTGACTCCAGGAGTTCAAAGCTGCAGTGAGCCATGATGGTGCCACTGCACTCCTGCTTGGGCAACAAAGCAAGATCCCATCTCTAAAAACAAACAAAAAGACATTAAACCATGTTTGTATATTTAAGGGAATGATGCAGAAGAAAGATATTTGTGATGCAGAAGCTTAAAAAAAGGGATAATTACAGGGCTAGAGTTCCTAAGAAGACTAAGATGATGCCATTCATTGCACAAGTGGCGGGATTAGCTTGGATGGCTGGGTCCTGTCCCTGCATTAACAGAAGTGAAGGTCAATTTTAGCACCTGTCATAATTTCCTGGGCCCAGTGCAAAATGAAAACGTGAGCCTCCTTATTCCAAAATTATTAAGAATTTCAAAGCTACAACAGAAAAGCATTAAACCAAGCGTGCAGCCTTTCTAAGCCTGGGCCCTGTGCGACTGCAATTTGTATGCCCGAGAAGCTGACCCTGGTCAAGTATGTAATGAGGTCGAGGAGGAGCAGGCTGTCTTCTAGGTAAGTCCCTTCTAGGATTGGAAGAGATGACTAAGGCTACTTTCAGCTTCACTGTTCCACAAGCTGGGAGGCCATTAGCAACGGAGAGAAGCCAAACTTGTCCCTTTTTAACTTCCAACCCTGCCAGATTTGAGTCCAGACCTTTCTAGAAGTCTCCACGGCATCGGGTGACCATAGCAACTCATGCCAAACTCTCGGGCCCACGGCTCCGCCCGCCGTTTCGTGGACGCGCTCGTTGATTGGCTCAGAAGATCGACCAATGGCTGGTGAAGCGGGCTGCTTGCCACACGGTCAATGGCTGCTGGCCGGGAGGAAGGCGGGAAGAGAGGGGGAGGAGGCGGGCCTGGGCGGCCGCGCGCGTGCGTGTTTCCGGCTCCGCTGCGGAAGGCGGACGACTGGAGGTGTTGGGCCCAACGCGACGCGAAGGTGCGGAGAGAGCGCGGGACTAGAGTGCAGAGCTCGGGACGTGGATCGGAGCCGGCGCAATGGGCGGAGAGCAGGAGGAGGAGCGGTTTGACGGCATGTTGCTGGCTATGGCTCAGCAGCACGAGGGAGGCGTGCAGGAGGTAACGGCTCGCGCGGCGTCGGCCCACCCGGCGGCCCTGGCCATGCTCCTTCCGCCCTTCTCTGCCTTCGATGGCGGAGACCCACTCCTGGGCCTCGCGGGCTTCTAGGATGCCCCCACATTCTCACTGCGCCCAGCTTCCGACTCGGCCGCCGCCGGCAGGTCTCACCGGGTTCGCATCAGTCACGGGCCTCTGGCGCCCCTCAGTAGTTCCTATCTTAGCAATTCCTGCGTACCTGAGCGTAGGATCCCCCTTTAGTCTCACATATGCCCTCAACCCCGTTTCCCCTTTGATGAAGGCTTCCCAGGAGCATCCCTTAGTAAGAACCATCCCAAATACCGTGATTTGCATCCAACAAGGCTTGAGGCGAGTCGACGAATGTGTGCGGTGTGGGCTCGGGGTGATGTTAGCTCAGGGTGATGTTAGCGCGTGGTCTTGTTAGGTCTTGAATGGGAGAATAGGAGGCCTGTGTTCACAGTTAGTTTCCACCACCTACCGACTTGGAACCTTTACATCTCTCCAAGCCTCAGTTTCCTTGTTTATGAGACAGCTGCGAATGCCAGTTTCCCGGGAGAAGTGAAGAACAGTGAGTTCTCAGTAATAAGGCTTTTTCATGCAACAAGTATTTGTCGTGTGATTGACGTGTGTCCCACACTCAATGCGACCGGGGATGCAAAAACCTGCCCTCGTCCTGATAGAGCTTACAAAGAGCTTTTCGAAGGCATAATTCGTGCCTAGCGACAGACACAGTAACACATAGTGTATAAATAATAAGAGCCGACTGTTAGGGTTCTGGAGTTGGCTTTTCGGAACAGGTACAAAGTTGGCCGGGAGCAGTGGCTCACGCCTGTATACCTGGCACTTTGGGAGGTCGAGGCAGGCGAATCACCTGATGTCGGGAGTTTGAGAGCAGGCTGACCAACATGGAGAAACCCCCTCTCTGCTAAAAATACAAAATTAGCCAGGCATAGTGATGCATGCCTGTAATCCCAGCTACTTGAGAGGCCGAGGCAGGAGAATCACTTGAACCCGGGAGGTGGAGATTCCAGTGAGCTGAGATCGCATGGTTGCACTCTAGCCTGGGCAACAAGAGGGAAACTCCCGTCTCAAAAAAAAAAGAAAAGAAACTCTAAGTTACAGGTAGAAAAGTCTGTCAGGATCAGAACTCTCATTTTCAGAGCCAGAGAAGTGACAGGGATTTGCCCATATCATTCAATACGTATGGTCCTGCCCTAGACAGGTCAGTGTGCTTCCTGGAGTCCATGGCTGATTGTGTCTCACTGGGGATAGGTTTCCATTGAACTTTCCATTCCTATTCTTTGACCTACCTGTCTGTGGCGACCAAAGACTTCTGAGCCCTTTGTGGTGGGGAGAGCGTTTCTAGTTTGCAGGTGTGAAAAGCCTTCCTGTCTCCATTCCTCTAAATTTTTGATACAAAACTAGATTGCGAAGCGAGTTCATTTTGAGCAAATTGAAAAAGTGTCTAGAAGCAATAATTGAAACCATTGAGATAAGTTCTAGCATCAGATTTAGACCCACTCTTGGGCAAATAAAGGGTTTGTGTGTGCTGACCTTAGGTCACCACTAGGTTGTTTCATTCAGCAAGAATTTTATTGAGCATGTACCCATAGCCGTATCTGGTGCCCTGCAGTGCTGGGTAGACTAAGCCATAGTTTATGGTTCCTGTTTGTAAGGTGTTTACCCTCTGCCAGTGGGTCTCTTGCTCTGTGCCATACATTGCTAAAGGCCTCACCTCCATAACCTCATGATCCTCACCGCGTCCCTAGAAATAGGTCCTATATCTTACTCCTGTTCTACAGAGTTAAGAAACTTCTGCAAAGTCAAAAACTAATATATTTCAGTCTGATACTCAAAGCCATGTCTTTAACCACTTGGCTACACTTGTACCCCAGCCAGAGTTAGTCCATTTTATCCTCCTTTGAAGTGACTTCATTTGCTCCCCTCCCTCTTGCTTTGACCCAGTAACTTACCCAGTGTCTGTTTTTTTTTTTCTTTTGAGATAGAGTCTCACTCTGTTGCCTAGGCTGGAGTGCATGGCGCCATCTCGGCTCACTGGAACCTCTGCTGCCTGGGTTAAAGCAATTCTCCTACATCAGCCTCCCAAGTAACTGAGACTATAGGTGCCTGTCACTGCCCCCGGCTAATTTTTGTAGTTTTTAGTAGAGATGGAGTTTCACCATCTTGGCCAGGCTGGTCTTGAACTCCTGACCTCGTGATCCACCCACCTCAGTCTCCCAAAATGCTAGAATTACAGGTGTGAGCCACTACACCTGGCCTTTTCTTTTTTTTGAGACAAAGTCTAACTCTGTCACCCAGGCTGGAGTGCAGTGGCACGATCTCTGCTCACTGCAACCTCTGCCTCCTGGGTTCAGGCGATTCTTCTGTGTCAGCCACCGAGTAGTTGGGATTACAGGTACCCACCACTGCACCTGGCTAATTTTTATGCTTTTAGTAGAGACAAGGTTTCACCATGTTGGCCAGGCTGGTCTTGAACTCCTGACCTCAAGTGATCCGCCCACCTGAGCTTCCAAAGTTCTGGGATTACAGGTATGAGCCACCGCGCCTGGCTTTATCCAGTGTCTTGATGGGCTTTTTACTATCTGGAGAGGAAAGCTGGGCCAAGGCTTTTCATTCCCTGGATGCAGAGGAGTGTTCTGTACAGTTAGGCTGCTTCTAGCATCACAAGGAAAGTGAAACGTGCACACGTCCATGCAGGATATGAGAAATCTGCTCCATGGTAGAAGTGACTAAGATAACCCTATGCAGAGGGTGTCTCCTCAGTTGGGAGGCTCAGAGGAAAAATAGTCAAGTTCTAAGTGCCCTCCTAGACAAAAGAAGCTGACTTATGTGCAGTTGAAGGGCTCCCAATATGGCAGCTCCACAGCTTTGATCTTCTCCCCCTCTTTCAGCTTGTGAACACCTTCTTCAGCTTCCTTCGACGCAAAACAGACTTTTTCATTGGAGGAGAAGAGGGGATGGCGGAGAAGGTAAGTGTTAGAAACCGCTGCCCTTTGGGCAGCTCTGTGTCTTCAGAAGAAAAGCTCACCTGGCTTTCCTTTGGCATAATAGTAACATTCAGCAGAAGCGAAATGCCAAATGTGAGGAAGGGAAGCAAGCTTTCCTTTCCTCAAGCTCCACTCCTTGCTCAGTGCTTTACCTACCTTATTTACCATGATTTTTGCAGTTCTACAAGAGGGGCAGGTGTTAACTATTCCTGTTGAGGAAATTGGCTCAAGAGAGTTTTGTACCTTGTCCGAAGTCTTGTGCTGAGTTGTGTGAGAACCAGGGTTGAACCCAGTCTATTGTAAACCTGCCTTCTGCCCCTGACACAGTGCCTCTCAGTTCCTTTTCCAATGAGGTTTTATTTTTGTTTTATTTATTTATTTTATTTATTTTGAGACGGAGTTTCACTCTTTTGCCACACTGGAGTGCAGTGGTGCAATCTTGGCTCACTGCAACCTCTGCCTCCTGGGTTCAAGTGATTCTCCTGCCTCAGCCTCCTGAATAGCTGGGATTACAGGCATCTGCCACCAAGCCCAGCTAATTTTTGCATTTTCAGTAGAGATGGGGTTTCACCATGTTGGCCAGGATGGTCTCGATCTCCCGACCTTGTGATCCGCCTGCCTTGGCCTCCCAAAGTGCTGGGGTTACAGATTTGAGCCACCACGCCCGGCCTATTTATTTATTATTTATTGATTTTTGAGACGGAGTTTCGCTCTTTGTTACCCAGGCTGGAGTGCAATGGCACGATCTCGGCTCACCGCAACCTCCGCCTCCTGGGTTCAAGCAGTTCTTCTGCCTCAGCCTCCCGAGTAGCTGGGACTACAGGCATGTGCCACCATGCCCAGCTAATTTTTGTATTTTTAGTAGAGATGGGGTTTCACCATGTTGACCAGGATGGTCTTGATCTCCTGACCTCATGATCCGCCCGCCTTGGCCTCCCAAAGTGCTGGGATTATAGGCCTGAGCCACCGCACCCGGCACCGGCCTATTTATTTTTTTGAGACAGAGTCTTCACTCTGTTGTCCAGGCTGGAGTACAGTGGCACAATCTTGGCTGACTGCAATCTCTGCCTCCTGGGTTTAAGCAATTCTTGTGCCTTAGCCTCCCAAGTAGCTGGGATTAGAGGCACATGCCACCACGCCCAAGCTAATTTTTGTATTTTTCTTAGAGATGAGGTTTCACCATGTTGGCCAGGTTGATCTCAAATCTCTGACCTCAAGTGATCCACCCACCTCGGCCTCCCAAAGTGCTGGGATTACAGGTGTGAGTCACCGCACCCGGCCTGAGGAGGTTTTAACTAGTTAACCTGGGAGATGAGACTGGGCAAATGTTAGAAACTGATGCTTAGAAAGAAATTTAGGAATACTCAAAGCCATGTCTTCCCAGATCCTGTGACTCAGAGTTCAAGGATTTTTATTTTGTAGTATTGATCCTGAGATCTTGAACTTCTTTCTGATTCCTTAAAGTTGTAATTGCATTTTTGAAAATTGTTACATCATGAGGACTGTACCTCGCTTAGTTATCTTTTTTTTTTTTTTTGAGACGGAGTCTTGCTGTTGTCACCCAGGCTGGAGTGCAGTGGTACAATCCTGGTTCATTGCAACGTCCACTTCTTGGGTTCAAGCAATTCTTCTGCCTCAGCCACCTGAGTAGCTGGGATTACAGGCATGCACCACCATGCCCTGCGCCATTATCTTTATAAAAGACATCAGTAAGAGACATAATAAGGAGACATTTTGCAAACTTTTCTGTGGCTTCAAGGTTCTAACAAGTTGGGAAACTCTTCAATGTGTCCTGAAGGTTTGAGGCCACTCTGTCATAGACACATTACCTAAGAGTAAGAGTCCCATGTTCTTGGTCTAGCTATGTCACCTAGTCGAGTTCCCACCAGTCCTCTGGTTCTTTCCATCTGTAAAATGGGAGGAAATAGACCCCTTCTAGCTCAGGTATTCTTTCTGTGTTGTCACTGTCACCTCTGGTTTTTCTGTGGGCCAGACTACCTTACAATATCAGTAGTCTAATTTTTTGTGTGTATGAGACAGAGTGTCATTCTTACTGGTCAGGCTGGAGTGCCATGGCGCAATCTCTGCTCATCGCAACCCCCACCTCCCGGATTCAAACTGTTCTCCTGCCTCAGTCTCCTGAGTAGCTGGGATTACAGGCATGCACCACCACGCCCAGCTAATTTTGTGTTTTTAGTAGAGATGGGATTGCTCCATGTTAGTCAGGCTAGTTTCCAACTCCTGACCTCATGATCTGCCGCTTCAGCCACCCAAAGAGATCAAGACCATCCTGGCCAACATGGTGAAACCCTGTCTCTACTAAAAATACAAAAATTAGCCAGGTGTGGTGGCATGCAAGTGTAATCCCAGCTACTTGGGAGGCTGAGGCAGAAGAATCGCTTGAACCCGGGAGGTTGCAGTGAGCTGAGATCACACCACTGCACTCTAGCCTGGCAACAGAG